CTCTGGGACACATTTAAAGCAGTGTGTAGAGGGAAATTTATAGCACTAAATGCCCACAAGAGAAAGCAGGAAAGATGTAAAATTGACACTCTAACATCGCAATTAAAAGAACTAGAAAGCAAGAGCAAACACATTCGAAAGCTAGCAGAAGGCAAGAAATAACTAAGATCAGAGCAGAACTGAAGGAGATAGAGACACAAAAAACCCTCCAAAAAATCAATGAATCCAGGAGTTGGTTTTTTGAAAAGATCAACAAAATTGACAGACCACTAGCCAGACTAATAAAGAAGAAAAGAGAGAAGAATCAAATTGACGCAATTAAAAATGATAAAGGGGATATCACCACCGACTCCACAGAAATACAAACTACCATCAGAGAATACTATAAACACCTCTACGCAAATAAACTGGAAAATCTAGAAGAAATGGATAATTTCCTGGACACTTACACTCTTCCAAGACTAAACCAGGAAGAAGTTGAATCCCTGAATAGACCAATAGCAGGCTCTGAAATTGAGGCAACAATTAATAGCCTACCAACCAAAAAAAGTCCAGGACCAGATGGATTCACAGCTGAATTCTACCAGAGGTACAAGGAGGAGTTGGTACCATTCCTTCTGAAACTATTCCAATCAATAGAAAAAGAGGGAATCCTCCCTAACTCATTTTATGAGGCCAACATCATCCTGATACCAAAGCCTGGCAGAGACACAACAAAAAAAGAGAATTTTAGACCAATATCCCTGATGAACATCGATGCAAAAATCCTCAATAAAATACTGGCAAACCGGATTCAGCAACACATCAAAAAGCTTATCCACCATGATCAAGTGGGCTTCATCCCTGGGATGCAAGGCTGGTTCAACATTCGCAAATCAATAAACATAATCCAGCATATAAACAGAACCAAAGACAAGAACCACATGATTATCTCAATTGATGCAGAAAAGGCTTTTGACAAAATTCAACAGCCCTTCATGCTAAAAACACTCAATAAATTCGATATTGATGGAACGTACCTCAAAATAATAAGAGCTATTTATGACAAACCCACAGCCAATATCATACTGAATGGGCAAAAACTGGTAAAATTCCCTTTGAAAACTGGCACAAGACAGGGATGCCCTCTCTCACCACTCCTATTCAACATAGTGTTGGAAGTTCTGGCTAGGGTAATCAGGCAAGAGAAAGAAATCAAGGGTATTCAGTTAGGAAAAGAAGAAGTCAAATTGTCCCTGTTTGCATATGACATGATTGTATATTTAGAAAACCCCATTGTCTCAGCCCAAAATCTCCTTAAGCTGATAAGCAACTTCAGCAAAGTCTCAGGATACAAAATTAATGTGCAAAAATCACAAGCATTCTTATACACCAGTAACAGACAAACAGAGAGCCAAATCATGAATGAAGTTCCATTCACAATTGCTTCAAAGAGAATAAAATACCTAGGAATCCAACTTACAAGGGATGTAAAGGACCTCTTCAAGGAGAACTACAAACCACTGCTCAGTGAAATAAAAGAGGACACAAACAAATGGAAGAACATACCATGCTCATGGATAGGAAGAATCAATATCGTGAAAATGGCCATACTGCCCAAGGTAATTTATAGATTCAATGCCATCCCCATCAAGCTACCAATGAGTTTCCTCACAGAATTGGAAAAAAACTGCTTTAAAGTTCATATGGAACCAAAAAAGAGCCCGCATCTCCAAGACAATCCTAAGTCAAAAGAACAAAGCTGGAGGCATCACGCTACCTGACTTCAAACTATACTACCAAGGCTACAGTAACCAAAACAGCATGGTACTGGTACCAAAACAGAGATATAGACCATGGAACAGAACAGATCCTCAGAAATAATACCACACATCTACAAGCCATTTGATCTTTGACAAACCTGAGAGAAACAAGAAATGGGGAAAGACTCCCTATTTAATAAATGGTGCTTGGGAAAATTGGCTAAGCCATAAGTAGAAAGCTGAAACTGGATCCTTTCCTTACTCCTTATATGAAAATTAATTCAAGATGGATTAGAGACTTAAATGTTAGACCTAATACCATAAAAATCCTAGAGGAAAACCTAGGTAGTACCATTCAGGACATAGGCATGGGCAAAGACTTCATGTCTAAAACACCAAAAGCAACGGCAGCAAAAGCCAAAATTGACAAATGGGATCTCATTAAACTAAAGAGCTTCTGCACAGCAAAAGAAACTACCATCAGAGTGAACAGGCAACCTACAGAATGGGAGAAAATTTTTGCAATCTCCTCATCTGACAAAGGGCTAATATCCAGAACCTACAAAGAACTCAAACAAATTTACAAGAAAAAAACAAACAACCCCATCAAAAAGTGGGCAAAGGATATGAACAGACAGTTCTCAAAAGAAGACATTCATACAGCCAACAGACACATGAAAAAATGCTCACTCATCATCACTGGCCATCAGAGAAATACAAATCAAAACCACAATGAGATACCATCTCACACCAGTTAGAATGGCAATCATTAACAAGTCAGGAAACAACAGGTGCTGGAGAGGATGTGGAGAAATAGGAACACTTTTACACTGTTGGTGGGATTGTAAACTAGTTCAACCATTATGGAAAACAGTATGGCGATTCCTCAAGGATCTAGAACTAGATGTACCATATGACCCAGCCATCCCATTACTGGGTATATACCCAAAGGATTATCAGTTATGCTGCTATAAAGACACATGCACACATATGTTTATTGCGGCACTATTCACAATAGCAAAGAGTTGGAATCAACCCAAATGTCCATCAGTGACAGATTGGATTAAGAAAATGTGGCACATATACACCATGGAATACTATGCAGCCATAAAAAAGGATGAGTTTGAGTCCTTTGTAGGGACTTGGATGCAGCTGGAATCCATCATTCTTAGCAAACTATCACAAGAACAGAAAACCAAACACCGCATGTTCTCACTCATAGGTGGGAACTGAACAATGAGATCACTCGGACTCAGGAAGGGGAACATCACACACCGGGGCCTATCATGGGGAGGGGGGAGGGGGGAGGGATTGCATTGGGAGTTATACCTGATGTAAATGACGAGTTGATGGGTGCAGCACAGCAACATGGCACAAGTATACATATGTAACAAACCTGCACGTTATGCACATGTACCCTACAACTTAAAGTATAATAATAATAAATAAATTTAAAAAAAAAAAAGAAAATGTCTATGTATCACCTTCATTTTTTCAAATATATTTTCATTGGACTAAAATTTTTACCTGAAAAATTGCTTTCTTTCAGCATTATAATTATGTCATCCCACTGTCTTCTGGCACTATTTTTGTCTCAGGAGAAATCAGATGCCATTAATATTGTTATACCATTGTGTAAAATTTCTTTTCTCTCTGGCTCCCTTTAAGGTATGTTCTTTATCTTTGATTTTAAACTGTTTGATTATGATGTAGTTTTATTTGCCTTTAGTTAATTTTCAGACTTTCTTCACACTGTGTCTGTTTTTGTTTTTTAAATCAAATTTGGAAAAAAAATGTTGACTAATGGTTTTTCAGATAGATAGACCCAACAATTCTACTTTTAGGTAATAACACTAGAGAATTTTTTTTAATTCTGCATGTTTTATACACACATATGCACAAAAAATAAGAAATATTATAATAGCCAAGATATGGAAATAATCCAGATGTCCATTATCAAATGAATGAATTAACACATTGTGGCATATTCAAACAATGAAATGCTACTCAAAAAATTAAAGCAATGAAGTACTGATGAACACAGCACCATGCATAAATATGAAAAATATGATGCTGATTGAAAACCATAACATACTCCATAGGATACTATTTATGCACAAATTTAGAGCGGAATAGACAAAATTTTAGTTGTAGATATGAGCAGTGTGGCCTGGTGAGGAAATAGTTGACTGAAAAGAAGCACACCAGAATTTAGAATATACTGGATTATGAAAATAGTTTAGACACTAATTGGAGTGATGATTACATAAGTGCGTGTGTGTGCGTGTGTGTGTGTAAACTCAGCAAACGATATACTTAATATCTTTGGATCATGCAACAAGGTACTTATGTGCCCGCTAAAATTTCATTGGAAGCCTAAACAAACAACTGATTAAACATATCTAAATGGAGAAATTCAGAAATTGAAACTAGATCAGAAGAAAAGGCCCAACTGAAGCACAGAAAGATCAATAAAGAAAATGATAAAATGAAAGTTAAGCTACAAAGAAGACATTTTCTCTTTCTATTAACTTGATAGGTCAAGTACGTGTATCAAACTTCGATAACAAATAATAAAAAATTCAGGTTAAAACATTATAAGAATCCTTCTAAAATAATGTAGAGTTGACAACAGACTTATGAATCATGACACTAAAATCTAAGCAAAGGTAGAAATCCAAGGAGGCGAGCAGAACACTGAAACCACTTTAATTCTGAGGGATTTTGCCATACCTAGGAAGAGCTTAGATTTTGAGAGTTTCCCAGGATTTTCGGTAGAGCAATAAAACCTGGGGAGTAATAAAGTCTGTGACTCTAACGGCAATTCATTTAGGTAAGAATGGCTTAAATAAACACATCTAACCCTGTCCCAATCCAAGGCTAATGCAAGGAAAGTTGCCTTGGCTCTGATGAGAAAGGGGCATGGGATATGAAAATAATTCCACAAAGTCTTCAGGATTGCAGATAAATCTCCAGCTTATTTGTGACTGACATTCATAGCATTTTATAGTTCTAAAAGCCTCAAATTAAAAGTGGTCCCTGACAAGAGGTGCCCTTTGGTGCCTGGAAGTAGCAAACACAAAGGATGTAAACTCAAAAATCCCCACAAATAATTTTATGTGGGCACTAAGTATTTCATAATCAAAAATGAGCCCAGAAGGAAACAAGACACACTAGGGGAGAATCATCCAAAAGCTGAATAAAAACCAGCAGAGAAAGCTCTATAAAAACTCATGAACAGTGGGTCTTGATGAGCTTCCGGGTTTATGGATTCGTGGGCTGCTTCCAACTGCTAGGAGGGTGGTGCACTCCAACTCTGGGACCGAAGACCCTGTGCTCAGGACTCTTCCAGACCTCTTTATCCGGCTGTTCATCTTCCATAATCAACTGGTAGACATTACATCCAAGAGGAAATAATCCAGGCAAGGAAGCACAAGCTAATCAAGATGTGTAGTTCTGTGGCTGCCAAGTTGTGGTTTTTGACAGATCGTCGCATCAGGGAAGACTATCCTCAAAAAGAGGTTTTACGAGCGCTGAAGGCCAAATGTTGTGAGGAGGAACTGGACTTTAGGGCTGTGGTGATGGATGAGGTGGTGCTGACAATCGAGCAAGGAAACCTGGGTCTGCGGATCAATGGAGAGCTAATCACTGCCTACCCACAAGTGGTGGTAGTCAGAGTACCAACCCCTTGGGTGCAGAGTGATAGTGACATCACTGTTTTGCGCCATCTAGAGAAGATGGGATGCCGGTTAATGAACCGACCTCAAGCCATCCTGAACTGCGTTAATAAGTTCTGGACATTTCAAGAGTTAGCTGGCCATGGTGTTCCTCTGCCAGATACTTTCTCTTATGGTGGCCATGAAAATTTTGCTAAAATGATTGATGAAGCAGAAGTACTGGAGTTCCCAATGGTAGTAAAGAATACGCGGGGTCATAGAGGTAAAGCTGTTTTCTTGGCTCGAGATAAGCACCATTTGGCTGATCTAAGCCATCTTATTTGCCATGAAGCACCATACCTGTTCCAGAAGTATGTTAAAGAGTCTCATAGACGGGATGTACGTGTCATTGTCGTGGGAGGCCGTGTGGTTGGCACCATGTTACGTTGTTCAACAGATGGGAGAATGCAAAGCAACTGCTCATTAGGTGGTGTGGGGATGATGTGCTCATTGAGTGAACAAGGGAAGCAGCTAGCTATCCAGGTGTCTAATATCCTGGGGATGGATGTATGTGGCATTGACCTGTTGATGAAAGATGACGGCTCCTTCTGCGTCTGTGAGGCCAATGCAAATGTAGGTTTCATCGCCTTTGATAAGGCTTGTAATCTAGATGTAGCTGGTATCATAGCAGACTATGCCGCCTCCCTTCTACCCTCTGGCCGGCTCACCCGGCGTATGTCCCTGCTCTCCGTGGTGTCCACTGCCAGTGAGACTAGTGAGCCGGAGCTGGGTCCCCCAGCCAGCACTGCTGTTGACAACATGAGTGCAAGTTCCAGCTCTGTTGACAGCGACCCTGAAAGCACGGAGCGAGAGCTGCTCACCAAGCTCCCAGGGGGCCTGTTCAACATGAACCAGCTGCTAGCCAATGAAATCAAACTACTGGTGGACTGACTCCACTGGTAATTAACCAACAAAACCCTTGTAAAACTTTCTTTCTTTTTTCTTTTCTATTTTTGAAACCAACTTGCAATGCTGTTCATGGTGGATGCTCAGGAAGATGAGAGAAAATTAGTAGGATTAGTTGGAGAGAGTGGGAGATAGATGAGACCTCTGCTTGTAAGATGTTACTTTCATTTACAAATCCTACAAATAGAGAGGCAGAATAGGTGGGGTATAGAAAAATGTCAGGCTCTCATAGTTCCCCTTTAAATTGCTAAAAAGTTTGTATACTCATAGGCCATGAGGAACAAATACTTTTTTTTTTCATGGTCCCTTGCTTTTGTTTTTGTACAAAAAAAAAATAATAATAATAACAGTTTTGCTACAAATATCCGAGTAGCATAACTTCACATTGTGTTGGAAGATTTGTCATTGAGGAAAACATCTGCTTAAATTACAGGAATTTTTGTATTATACAGCTCTGAAAATTCTGCCATTTCCTTATTAACTAGCAGCTTTAGTTTGTAGTTTATGAAATCTCGAGGGGCTCTTTTACTGGGATTTCTTATTTTTGTTTTTTGTTTTCTTCCCCTTAATTTGGTGGGAGGGTCAAAGTGACTATAACCCAATAAAGACTTCTTAATGACAAAAAAAAAATAAAAAAATAAAATAAAAAAAAATTTTAAAAACCCAGCAGAAACAAATTCACACAAATTTCAGAAATTTTTTATAATTTTGCAATTATCAAATGTGAAGTATTTTAAACATATATTTAAAATGTTTAAGAAAATAAAAGAAGAGAAAGCCTGATAATAACTGCAGGAAAAAAACTGAATTTAACTTCTGGAATTAAAATATAGAATAGTCCAAAGTAAAAAATTAATGTGCAGTCTTAATAATATATTAGACACAATTGAAAATAGAACTGAAAATCGTTTTTAAAAATTATTCAGAAGGCCTCAAAAAGATTAAGGAAGTGGCAGAAAATGTGAAAGAGTGGGTAAGAGAGACAGAAAAAAGGAAGCGAAGGTATAATGTATGTGCCTATTCCAAGTTACATAATGAAAATATAGATAGAATATAGAATAGCAGATGTTAGAATGATGACATAGTCAATGTCTCAGATTCATGAAGTCCAAGAAGTATAAAAGAAAATGAACAGAAATTTATTCATATACACATAATAGTAACATTAAAATACTAAAGATGAAGAAAATATATTAATAGCATCTTTGGGGGGAAGGAAGATAGATTACCCTTAGACAATCATCAATTAGACTGATAGCTGACTTTAACAAACACATTCAAAGCCAGATGACAGTGTACTTACCTCTTCAACATGTTGAAAGACTATTTTCAACCTGGAATTCTATACTCACAAAAGTATCTTTCAATAATGACAGATAATTAAAGACACTTCTAAACGAACAAGTACGTTTAGAATGTTTGGCACCATATGATTCTCACAAAAGAAAGTTCTATGACAAAAATCCCAGATGAAAGGTCTGAAGTACAAGAAAAAAAGAATAAAATAAAGGTGAAATATATGTAAATAAATCTGAAAGAAGACTATTTAATTATAATAATATTTTATAGAATAAAATAAAAATTAAATTCACAAATATAATATAAAAGTTGAGAAGAGATAAAGTATTCTAATTTCCTATGTTTTCCAAAAGGAGGGTAACAGTTTTGATTACTTTCAGGTATTATAAGTGAAGACATTCATGTTGTAATATTGTGGGTGACCAATGGAGCATTCTCCATTGGAACAAATTGTGTAAATTTTTTGCTAGTATGGTCCTGAAGAGTGACTACCAAAGATATATATGTTCTAAGCTTTGGAACCTGTGATTGTTACTTTATATGACAAGAGGGAACTTGCAGATTAATTAAGGATCTTGAAATGGAGAGATTATTCTGTATTATGCAGGCAGTCCCTAAATATCACAAGTGTCCTTATAAGAGGGAAGTATTGGGGAATTTGATGTGGCGACTACAGAGAAGAGGAAAAGAGGCCAGGCCCCGTGGCTCACGCCTGTAATCCCAGCACTTTGGGAGGCCGAGGTGGGCGGATCACGAGGTCAGGAGACTGAGACCATCCTGGCTAATACGGTGAAACCCCGTCTCTACTAAAAATACAAAAAATTATCCAGGCATGGTGGCGGGCGCCTGTAGTCCCAGCTACTTGGGAGGCTGACGCAGGAGAAAGGCGTGAACCCAGGGAGGCGGAGCTTGCAGTAAGCCGAGATCTCGCCGCTGCACTCCAGCCTGGGCGACAGAGCTGGACTCCATTTCAAAAAAAAAAAAAGAAAAGATATGTGATGATAAAAGCAGATGTTGCAATTATGAGCTTTGACGATGAAATAGAGTCCTAAAGCAAGAAATACAGGTGTCCAGTAGAAACTGAAAGGGGCAAGGAAACAGATTCTCCCTTTCATACCGCCAGAGGAATTAGTCTTGTTGACATCTTGACTTTAACCCAGTGAAACTGATTTTAGACTCTGCCTTTCATAAATGTAAGAGAATAAATTTGTGTTGTTGTAATCCACTAAATTTGTGCCATTTCTTACAGCAGCAAGAAGAAAGTGATATATATGAAAACATGGATGATAAAAGTATTGAGCCAATCCAAAAGGAAGCTGTTTTAGCTCTACCAAGATACCATAGACTGGGTGACTTAAACAACAGACGTGTATTTCTCACTAGAGGCTGAGAAGCCCAGCAGATTCTCTTTTTGTCTTGCAGATGGCTGCCTACTTGCTATATCTCCACATGGCAGAAAAGAGAGGCCTGATATCTCTTCGCCTTCTTACAAGGGCACTAATCTACCACAGAGGATCCACCCTCATGACCTCATCTAAGCCCAGTTACTTCCCAAAAGCCCTACCTCTCAATACCATCACATTGGCGGATAAGGCTTCAACATATACCTGTAGGGGAGCACATTCAGTCTATAATAAAAGCAAATAGCATAGAGAAAAAAATCATAGAGATGGTAGAACAAAGAGAAAGCATAAAAAATGTAGATACAAGCCCATATGTATGTTAGTCTATTAAATATTAATGAGCTACTTTTCTATAGATAAAAGATAAAGATTGTCAAGAGATTTAAAAAAAATAGATCCACAACTAAAATGCAAGAATAGAAAAATATCAAAAATTAAAGAATGAAGGAAAATATGGCACACAAATATGAACAAAGGAAAGATGATTTAGCTATGCCCCAAAGAGAAAAAAAAAACCCACTAAAGATGACCACTCCGCAAGATAAAATATTCAATTCATCAGAGAAAAGCACATGAAAAATGCTCAACATTATTAGTCAATAGGGATATATAAGTCAAAACTACAGTGAGATACCACATCACACCCATAGGGATGGATATAATAATAATTTTTTGAGGAAAAAAAGCAAATTATTGGCAAGGATATGGAGAAACTGGAACCTTCGTACATTGCTGGCAGGAATGTACAATGGTGCAGTCACTATGGAAAATAATTTGGCTGTTTCTCAAAAAGTTAAACATAGAATTACTATATAATCCAGAAACTCCTCTCCTAGGAATTCACACAAAATTAATGAAAACAGGGACTCAACCAGATACAACAAAAAGGTATGAATAACTTAAGTGTACGTCAATTTAAAAATGGATAAACAAAAATTAATATATGCATGCGACTGAATATTATTCAGTCATAAAGAGCAATGAAGTTCTGATACGTGCTACAACATGGATGAATCTTACAAACATTCTAAGTAAAATAAGTCAAAAACAAAAGGGTGAATGTTATGATTTATCTTACATAAAAAAGGTGAATGTTATGATTTATCTTACATAAAAAATTTAGAATAAGCAAAGTTACAGTGACAGAAAGTAAATTAGGAATTAACAGAGGCTACGGAGAGGGGAGAATGGGGGAATTATTGCTTAATATATACCAGGTTTCTGTTTGGAGCGATGAAAAAGTTTTGGAAATAGACAGCTGTGATGGTTTCATAATATTGTGAATATAATGAATGGTCACCAAATTGGATACTTAAAATGGTTACATTACAAATATATTTTATATATACACACATATAATGCATACAATTTTGTATACATATGTATTGTGTGTGTGTATCTGTTTTAAAAAAATAGAATTCTGATAAAGAGAAGCCCAGGAAATACAATATCATGGAATCCAAGGGCAGTATGCAGGGTTCTCAGGAGAAAGATGTGGTAAGTCTCAGGAGAAAGATGTGGTAAACATTGCCTAAGGTTGACAGGTATTTAAACAGACACACTCTGGATTCAATACCAGATCTGTCACTTCTTAAGTTTGTAATACTGGCTGATATGGTTTGGATGTGTGTCTCCTCCAAATCTCATGTTAAAATGTCACTCCCAGTTTTGGAGGTAGGACCTAGTGGGAGGTGTTGGATCATGAGGATGGATCCCTTAAGAATGGTTTAGTACCCTAGAACATAAAGCATAGTAATAATAATAATAAGAATGGTTTAGCATTAAACCTTTGGTGATGAGCGGGTTCTCTCTCTGTTAGTTCAAGAGCAGGTTGCTTGAAGGAGCCTGGCATATCTCTTGCTCCCTCTCTCACCATGTGACACACCTGCTCACCTTTCACCTTCTGCCATGAGTTATAAATTCCTGAGGCCTCACTAGAAGTTGAGCAGATGCCTGTGTCACACTTGTACATCCTGCAGAACTATGAGACAAATAAACCTCTCTTCTTTACAAATTACCTAGTCTCCAGTATTCCTTCATAGCATCATAAAAAGGACTAACACACTGGCTCAATCGACTAACTTTTCTTAGGTTCAGTTTTTTGTTTCTGTTTTATCTTGTTTTGTTTTGTTTTTTCAGAAACAGGGTCTCTGTCACCCAGGCTGGAGTACAGTGGCATGATTTCAGCTCACTGCAGCCTTGACCTCCCAGCCCAAGCAATCCTTCCACCTCAGCCTCCCAAGTAGCTGGGTCTGCAGGCACATGCCACCAGGCTTGGCTAATTTTGTATTATTTGTAGCGATGGGGTTTCACATATTATCCAGGCTGGTCTCAAACTTCTAGGATTAAGCAATCCATCTGCCTCAGTTGCCCAATGTGCTAGGATTACAGGCATGAGCCACCACACCCAGCCAGGTTCAGTTTTTTAATCCATTAAATAGGAATAATAATAATATTAAATAGGAATAATCTATTAAATAGAAATAATATAAGAACTATAGTGATGAGTAAAGATCCAAGGGCCAAGTCTAAAATAGTATAATCATTTAATAAATGATAGCATCTAATATTCTATTTTATTTGCTTACATGTCTATTTTCCTGGAGATCATAGACTCTCCCTATAATTCTATTTCCAGTTTCCAACACAGTATCTGGATATATTAGACTTAACTCTAATCTGCAACTGTCAGGGAGATCTTCATACGTACAACTAAAATTCTGACTCTCACACTACCATAGGCATCAGTAGAATATAGAACAGAATCCACTTGCCAGCAGGGTAGCATCAAGCATTCTTCATCATCAGGAATCCTTGCAGTGGTCCAGCACATCAGTGTTGGTCCAGCATAGCTCTCTGGGAGATACATGTTTCCCAGATGACTGCTCAGATGCAAGGAGATGAAACTTGCAT